TGTGGTTGCAATTGCTGCAGCATGCACGATGCATGCACGCTACAGCTCCTTCCGATCCCCTATCGCTCGTCTGGCTGGCTAGCTGGCAACATCTCGCCTCGACCTCGACTGCAGCAAGCAAGCAAGCATGCTGCATGCATCGATTGGACAGTCAGCATCCAAGTGCCTGCCTGCCTGCCTGCAGCCTCTGCTGGAGCCCTGGACTCACTGGATGGATGGGTATGCGTGCACTCAACCGCGCGCGAGCGATCGATCAAGCAACTTGGCCTGCTGCATGCAACGGCCCAATCTGAATCTCTCAACTCAGGCCTTGTTTAGAGGCAAAAAAAATTAGCGAAATGCTACTGTAGCGGTTTTCGTTGTTATTTGGTAAATAGTGTCCAATCATAGTCTAATTAGGCTTAAAAGATTCGTCTCGTGGATTTCGTCTAAACTGTGTAATTAGTTTTATTTTTTATTTATATTTAATGCTTCATGCATGCGTCCAAAGATTCGATGTGACGGGAAATCTTGAAAAATTTTGCAAAATTTTTTGCAACTAAACTGGGGCTTAGATTAAGAGGGTGTTTGGTTCCACCTACTCCCTTCGTCAAAAAAAAAGAATAGAATCCTGGTGTTCAAATCATTGTCTCAAAAAGGATGTAATCCTAAGTTATGATCAGCTTTTTGAAGTAGAACCCACCAAATACTTGTGAAGAATTCTTTAGATGTTCTGCTTGTGAAGAATTCTCTAGAAGTCCTGCTTCCTCCGTTCTATTTGTGAAGAATTCTCTAGCAGTTCAGATGCTATGATGGAGAGTTGGGGCATATTCTCTGCTAATCTCACCTTGAAACTCAAGAATTCCATCTTTTTTGGGACGGAGGGAGTACTAAAATTTAGTCCATGTCACGTTGAATATTTGGACACATGCATGGAGTATTAAAAGTAGACTAATTACAAAACTAATTGCACAGATTGAGACTAATTTATGAGACGAATCTATTAAGCCTAATTAGACTCATGTTTAGTCTTTCTAATAAGTACCTAAATACCCGATGTGACATCTACTAAACTTTAGTCCCTGGATCCAAACACCCCCTGAACAAGCAGTAGCAAGCAGGGCCAGCGACTATATATCTGACACATGTGCAGTCTCAAATTTGAATCACTCACTAACTCTGAATCCATGTCAATGAGCACCGATCGATCGATTCCTCACGCGCTGCTGCTAATCTGGGCCAGGTCCAGACCCGCTGGCCCACTAGACACGCTGTAGTGGGCCCCATTTGGGCATGTGACATATCCCCCGTTCTCCGCACAACGCGTCCTTGCGTTGTATCCTTGCTTGGTCGTTGACGCTGCTGGGGAAGAGGGCTCCTCCGATGGTTGCTGCCTTGGTACTGAAGATGAGGCGTCCCAGCTTGTTCTCTTTGTGGTTGTTGGCGAATTCAGAGTAGGGCTAGAGGTTGTTGATGTAGCCAAAGATGAGGTGGTGTTGTTCGGTGGTCGTTGTTGGCCCAAGTGCGTCTGTAGCGGTGTTGATGATTGAATGGCAGCCTCCGGGGTTATGTTGTGTGTTGATGTAGCCGTTTACCGCGAAGAGGAGTTTTTAGTTGGTGTAGTCCAAGAGAATTGCCATTGTCGACTGTAGTGCGCCCTATGCCATGAAGATGCCCTTGGGAAGGCAATAACTTACCATGGATGTTGCTGGAGTTTGGATGCCTTCTATGTGGAAGTGGCGGTTTGTCGTTTGCCCTCCAACGATGATAGTGTGTAGCTAGTCCGGCAATTGTGGTGATGCTGCCAGAAGGTAGATGCACCCGTTATAGTTGACGATGATCTCTTGGTTAAGTGACCAGGCCAGTGTTGCGGTGTCGCTCATGATGGTGGAGGTGACTGTCCGCCCTGGTAAAGGCGCTTGATGCTGATGGGGTGGTGCCATGATGATGAGGGTCTGGGTTCGACCCATGTCCTTTCCTCTTCCTGTCAGTGTGTCCTTGCGCTATACCATTGCATGTGTGGAGGTGACGTCGGGTGGTAGACAAACTTGCATTAGTATTCCCTCCAGCTTGATGGCGAGTAGTTCAGGCGTGTTGTGGACTGCTTGGCAGATGTAGCTAAGGATGGTAGTGGTGTTGTCAATAAAGTCCAACCCATTTGGTTGGTGCATCCGTGCAACTCGGCTCATGTTGTTGTGAAGCAGCAGTGTTGAAGATGGTGGTGCGGTTGACTGTTTTTGTTGGGCTACTACTGCTGTTGATGATGATGTGGTGATGGAGAGCTTGTTGCGCATTGCTTGACCACTAGTAATTTTGCTGAAGGTGATATTGTGCTTTTTCCCTTTGGAATCTCATCTCTAGATTTGTAAAGTCCCAGATGATGGCACTCAAGTTAGTCAACCAAGGTGTTTCAAGGATGACATCGATGTCAGCGTTGAGGTTGATGAGCCGGCCGCCTATCTGGAGCATTTCTGAGTTGATGTATAATAGTATGCTGGGGCGTGCTTCCTGACAGGTGATCTCCTTGCTGCTACTGATGAGGATTGTTGTGCTGGCACATCGTTCCAAGAAGTTTGCTTGCCTGGCGAAACTGACGTTGATGGTGTTGGGCGTGTCGCCGGTGTTGATGAAGATGCATGCTCCATTGGCATAGCCTGCCACAAGCAGCGTGTTCCATCCGTGCACGTCTGAATGTTTTCCTCCTATGATCCCTGAGCTGTTGTCGTTGTGGCGTGGGATGCCTGTGTCCATTAAAATTGGTTGCATCAGCTGATGGGGCTTATTAGATTTTTGTTCTTGTAGCCCATTGTCTAATTTCACATGGCCTAGAATCCTCCCATCGTCACAGGTTAGCGATGAGATGTATAGGGGTCCCGACTCCCTGTGCATCTTGATGACCATGGTGTTACCAAAGGAGTTTATGGTGGCTGTGAGTAGGATGTTGGTGGGAGTGGAGGTTTTGTTTGTGGTTACTCTTGTCCACGTAGATGGATCTGTGTTAGTTGTCTACTACTTTGTTGGTTCCTTGTTCCGTGCTGGATCAATAAGGATCTCCAATGTCGTGGCGCTGTTGGTGGGAGCGCCCGTTTGATGCCATGGTCATGCTTGTCAATGGCATCTTATGCGTCCTTTTTCTCAACAATGGTGGAGTTGTTGGTTGGAGTTTGGGGTACCGGGTATGATCCTGTTGTTGAGAACATTGGTCATGTCATTGCCGGTGTAGGCACTGAGGAGATCTCATCCAAAGACCCCGTATCTAAATCTGTAGGAAGAAGGTCTAGGGTTGTTTCAGTGGTGAGCACGCTTGATGTTGACGTTGTCGTTGGTGGTGCTCCTCCTTCGTGCGTAATTGGTACTCGCTGTGGTCGACTCCGGCTGAATTGGATCTATTGTTGATGGGAAGCTCTCCAGCTCATAAAAAATTGTGGGGCTTGCTCCTCCAACCATCGGTGGCTTTGTTGATGTTGTTCTCGGCGTCCTCCTTGGATTGTGTATGTTCTATCTTATCCAAGCAGGCTTTGGCCTTGATGAAGAACTCTTTCGCCTCGTCCCATTGTTTGTTGCAGGTGGCGGTGAGGATCTCAATCTCCTTCTTCATCTCGTTGATCATGGTGGTGACCATCGGATCGATCTGGTCTCCGGATACCAGGTATCACAGCCTTGGTCGGGGTAGGCCGGTTGGAGCAGCTAGGGCTAGGGCATGGGCGGCCTGGGCATCGCTGGAGGCGGTGGCGTGGCGGTAGGGGGGAGGCGTGGGGGAGGCAGGCGCAGGGCAGGGAGGCGACGGCTAGAGAGATGAGGAGACCGAGGCTTAGAAGAGAGGAAAGGGAGATAAGGAGCTGAAGCCCACTTCTTGCTTAAGATTGAAATGTTACATAGCCCTTCTATTTATAGTCCTGATAGACTTAGCCCCTAAGCAATTTAAACTTATCCTTCAAGAAACTAAAGGAAGTGTCCTTATAGATTTGGACTACTTTTACAATCAAGACTATTTATTTCCTAATAAATCTCGATGCAGTAAATCTCTATTTATCTTCCTACTTTATTCCGACTTTCCTTTTTATTCCGGATCTCCTCAGAATTCGGGAGATCTCAAGGCGGCGGTGGCGCTGCTCCCACAGGCAGTGCCCCCCCCCCTCCCGCTGGCCCACTGGACCCACCGTGGGCCCCATTTGGGCGCATGACAATATATTTCCTGAGCAAGAGCTTTATTGCTAGAGAATTGGCCATGTTTGATTTTAAAGAAGTCAGGTGTCGCAAAGTACACACAGTTGACTTAAAATTGTGATATTTTTTTTGGGAAGAGTGAATATGGTATTGAAATTAAGATTGCAGCCACACGGCCATGGCCAATTGGTCATGCAGATCAATGGTGACCTAACAAATCGAATTGACTAACACTCATATTGTTCCGTGTGGATATATAGTGGGTACGGTACTTTTGAATTAAAAATTTGAGATTGAGATAGACAGGATCATATATTATTATATTCAAAAAAACGCAGCAGGCACGGTCACGCTGACGAGGCCACGATGGATGGCGACCCAACGGGTGGACCAGTTTTTTTTCGTCTTCTTTTTCGTGTTATAATGTGGACGATTTATAGTGGGTATAGCGATTGGAGTTGAAATTGGGAGCTAGCACAGACAGTTCATGGGCATGGTCCTACTAACCAACCGGTTGTGTGGTATGTGTGTGTCCAAGTGCCGTGCCGTGCCTGCATATCCAGTACAAGTGTGGACTTGGCTGAGTTCGAAGCTGGAGCCGCTGCAGTATGACTCTGGAATGCAAATTTCCGGGTACCTGATGAAAGTTTTATGTTATCATTAGTACCTTAGTTCATTTGTATACACATTATTTTTGCTCCATTGAATCGGCATGATTAGTTCAATTGATGTGCTATATATTTAGGAGTAATATATACAAGTAGGTGGAACACTTCCATTTCTATCAAGCACCAGCTGCATCAGCCAGAGATTGAGAGATGATTATGATTTCCATGGGCTACAGCAAGCTGGCCATGCGTCCTGTGGTGTGCCTCGTGATGGTACTATCCATGGACGTCCTCGGCGCCGCTGCCGGCGTCTTCAAGCCGCCGCCGGCGATGTACGTGTTGGGCGACTCGACGCTGGACGTCGGCAACAACAACTACCTGCCGGGGGCGAACGTCCCCAGGGCCAACAGGCGCTACTACGGCATCGATTTCCCCGGCGGCGTTTCCACCGGAAGGTTCAGCAACGGCTACAACACTGCCGATTTCATTGGTAAGTCGATCGTAGGTCTACGTACTGCTATATATATACTACTCTTTGTTTCCATTTTCATAGCAGTATTATTTTTTATTTTAATATATATGGACATGCATGTGTTTGTGTAATGTGTATAGAACAGAATAGTTAGTTTTGATTGGTCGATCTTTTCTCCTTCATATAGAGTATAGGTTATAGTACCTAAGTACGTTGCATTGCAGCAAAGTGCATAGGGTTCGTGAGCAGCCCTCCGTCGTACCTGTCGCTGGTGGCGCCAGCAAGCTCCGGCGGCCTTCTGGTCCCGACCGCTCTCACCATTGGCGTCAGCTATGCTTCCGGAGGAGAAACTTTAACAAACAAGCATACATGAACGCATGCAGAACGCCGGCAGCACCATCCCGCTGTCGAAGCAGGTGCAGTACTTCAACGCCACGAGGTCGAAGATGATCGTCGCCGCGGCGGCGGGATCCTCCAACGCGGTGGACACCCTGATCAACAGGTCCTTCTTCCTCCTCCTCTTCGGCGGCAACGACGTGTTCGCATTCGCGAACGCGGAGCAGGCGCGCAACAGGTCCGGCGCCGCCGACCTGCAGAGCGACGCCGCCGCCTTCTACGGCAGCCTCGTCTCCAACTACTCGGCCGCCATCAGGGGCCTGTACGCGCTGGGCGCGCGGAGGCTCGCCATCGTCAACGTGGGGCTCGCCGGATGCCTGCCGGTAGCGCGGGTGCTGGACGCCACGGGCGCGTGCGCGGAGGACCGGAACCGGCTCGCCGCTGGCTTCAACGCCGCGCTGCGGTCCCTGCTCGACGACCTCGCCTCCTCTTCCTCCGGTCTGCCCGGCCTCGCCTACTCCCTGGCCGACTCGCTGGGCCTCATGGCGGACACCTTCGCTGACCCGCTGGCGTCGGGGTTCACGGACGTCGCCGACGCGTGCTGCGGCGGCGGCCGGCTCGGCGCGGAGGCGGCCTGCACGCCCAACGCCACGCTCTGTGCAGACCGCGGGCAGTACTACTTCTGGGACAACATCCACCCTACCGAGCGGGCCGCGGCGCTCAGAGCCCAGGCATTCTATGACGGCCCGGCCCAGTACACTACGCCCATCAACTTCAAGCAGTTGGTCCACATGAGCTGATCGATGTTGGCCCATTTGCTTATTCATTCAGGGATCCAGTGACATAATTTTCCCAAGATGATTACATCAAAAGCGAACCATGGTACATCCCATGTTACATGAATAATTGACCTGAAATTCGCAAAAAAAAAAAAAATTGACCTGAAAAATAAATAAACAACATTGAATAAGCTTTCATGTTAGCTCTTCCTGCTCCATTCTAGCCTGTGGTAACAATCCTTATACTAGAATCATTGAGAGTTAGTTTTGTGAATTAATTGGAAAATGAGATAGCAGCCACATGCATGATGCACCACACATACATGGCATATGCATGCATGTGAATTAATTGGAGAATGAGATAGCAGCCACGCTAACGACCGACTGGTTCGTTAAGCATGCTTCCAAGAAATGCATTCAATCTGAGATATCGATGGTTAGCTAGATGATGAGAGCTTTGGATTTTCCAGATTCCTATAGTAGTGTGTATAGTGCACCCTAGCGGATATTCAACTGTTAGGTATGGCGCAATTAATACCCACGAGACCTCCATATTATCATAAAAATTATTAAATATATACAAAATAAAGTACACACGAGACGAGACCCTCTGGACTTGGTCGATCCGCCCAGTTGATCGAGGTACCGTGTGTATATTGAGTAACCACCTACATAAGTTATTCTATAGCCATATCTATTTACGGTAATTTTATATACTAATTTACGATAGTATCAATATATATTTACAATAATTGGGTTACTAGGCCGTTCGGCTGGCTGGCTCTGTCACTCACGAAATCACTGTTCATGTCATGTCAGAACAATATTTTCTCTCACAATAATCTCTAATAAAAAGAGATTTTTCAAATCCTGCTTTGAATAGGCCCTATAACACATAGGGATATTTACCATAACGTTATACTAAACCACTTAGTAAAGAGTTACTATAATATCGTAAATTAACATAATAATTATCGTAATTCAAAGTAGCTACACAATAAGTTATTTTGTAGCAAGCTACTGAAGCAGAGTAGTAGTGTGTATATATATATATATATATATATATATATATATATATATATATATATATATATATATATATATATATATATATACACAGCAGCAAGGGCGATACGTACCGAGCACAAGCTGAAGCAGCTCAACGTACGCATTCGATCGATCATGGGCTGCTGCTCGATGGCCATGGAGGGTCGTCGTCTCGTTCTGTGCCTTGTGATGATATCCGCGCAAATGCTAGTCATTGCCATGGCCGGCGCCGCCCAGTGGCGGCCGTCGGCGATGTTCGTGTTCGGCAACTCGACGTTGGACGTCGGCAATAACTATATACCTGCCGGGGGCGGACGTCCCCAGGGCCAACAGGCCCTACTACGGCGTCGACTTCCCCGGATTCCCCACCGGAAGGTTCAGCAATGGCGGCAACACCGCTGACTTCGTCGGTACGTACGTACTATTACTGCATGCTATACCACTTTTACCTGCGTACTGCTTCGGCTTATAGCGTTGTACGACGTATATATATATATATATATATATATATATATATATATATATATATATATATATATATATATATATATATATATATATATATATATATATATATATAGCCCTCCGCCGTACCCGTCGCTTTCACCCAACTCCAGCCTTCTGCTCGTGCCAACGGCTCTCACCACTGGTGTGAGCTACGCTCATCCTCGACCTCCACCGTAAGTACATGTGTCATCTTTTGGCCCTGGATGGAGATATAACATATAACTATGCGCATGTCAGTAGTGTTATATATATATATATATATATATATATATATATATATATATATATATATATATATATATATATATATATATATATATATATATATATATATATATATATATATATATATATATATATATATACACACGCGAAGACGACGATGATGATGTGGCGATGCATGTATGCATGCGCAGAACGCAGGCAAGTGCATCCCGTTGTCCATGCAGGTGTCAGATAGTCTGCTGCATCCCTAATATGAATGCGTAGCAGGGAAAGACGGCGTCGAAAAGGATACTCTGCTATTATACTGTAGCAACTGCAGGGACAGGCGTCGAACGACTCACCTGCCGCACTGTAGCCACAGCAGGGGCATACGTCAAAATTAGCCATGCTGTCACATCTAGTCACTGTAGCAGCATGACAGCTTGATATGTCTGTACTAGTGTTAGATGAATAGAGTTGTATATATAGTTTGCCACTACAACTCAGTAAAGAGAGCGAGTTCAGTTTGCCATCTTCTCTGTAGAGCTCCTGTCAACGCTGGTGCTTGTACTATGTGTGTGCTCTATTTTCCCTCCCTTCTTCTACCTCTAGCCATAGTGGGGGGGGGGCAACGACAGTTCGTGGTCGACATCGCTAGTGTGTGTTCGACAACACTAGAGAGTGGTCGGATATTTTCGTACCGGAGATCGATGGGTTAACAAGTGGTATCAGAGCCGTACAAACGCCGTCGTCGGACTAACCACTGCCGATGATGGGCGGTTCGGACATGGGTGACAACAGCGGAGCTGCTGTGGCTGCCCAGCCACGACAGAAGGTCGTTGTACGCACGGTGCGGGAGGTCAGCGGCACCAGTTGGCCGATGATGACTCGCAGCAACTATGGAGAGTGGTCGGTGACCATAAATTTCAAGCTCCGAGCCTGACGGCTCTGAAATGTTGTTGACAAGGGCACCAAAAATGAAGAAGATGACATGTCAGCGTTGGAGGCTATCCTCGCCACTGTACCGGCGAAGTATAGGGAGCCGTTGGGGCCGAAAAGCTCTGCTAAGGAGACATGGCAGGTTATTACGGCGATGCGCGTCAGTTCCGACCGCGCAAAGAAGACGATGGCCCAGCTTCTGAAGCAGGAGTATGCCAACCTCAAGTTCAAGGATGGTGAATTGGTGGAGGATTTCTTCCTCCGCATGCAGACGCTCATCAACAAGTCAAGAGCTACGCATCATCCATCGATTTAAGAGGAGGCGGTGTCCAAGTAGCTACACTTCATGCCCGGCAAACTACATCCAGATCGCTCTCTCCCAGAGAGACGATGCTGGACTTGTCCACCCTCACCATTAAGGATATGACAGCCGTCTGCAATGCGGTGGGACGGCGAGCCGGAGCAGCGGCAAAGAACGAAGGACAACGGTAAATCGCTGCTACGTAGAGGAGGTGGGCTACTCGGAGGAACTCCGGTAGCCTCCTCCACCGCGATGGCGATGGCAAGCGCTGTGGCAAGGCTTCTTTGGAGAAGAAGCGGGTCGACCCCAATGCCTGCCGGCGCTTTGGGAAGACGGGCCATTGGGCACGGGAGTGTCCAAATCATAAGCAGGAGAAGAAGGCTGAGGCTCATCTAGCGCAAGCTGACGATGATGATGAGGCCACTATCCTGATGGCGACGTTCTGTGCATGACATGACGTCGAGGACGAGGAGAAGGGAGAGGTGATGGCGGGTGAAGGACCTAGGAAGGCCCTGAAGGCTGTTAACCTTGACGAACCACGCGCCCAAGTCCACCTCGGACGTGTGGGCGGCGAGCAGGAGCAGCGGTGGTATCTAGACTCTGGTGCCAGCAACCACATGACGGGCTCCAAGGCAGCCTTCTCTGAGCTCGATGACGATGTGACCGGTATGGTGAAGTTTGGTGACGACTCGAGGGTGGCAATCCGAGGGCGCGGCACCATCATCTTCAGGTGCCAGAACAGCGAGCACCGCACACTAATGGATGTATATTACATCCTGCAGCTGCGTTCCAGCATCATCAGCTTTGGCCAGCTGGATGAGTACGGTAGCGAGGTACTGATCAAGGACGGAGTCCTCAGGATCAGGGACCAGGAATAGCGACTTCTTGCCATGGTAAAGAGGTCCCTGAAATGGTTGCACCTGCTCAACTTGAAGGTGGAGCAACCGGTATGCCTGGCGGCAAGGCACACCGAGGAGCTGTGGTTGTGGCATGCCCGGTTCGGCCATCTCAGCTTCGATGCTCTTGGTCGGATGGAAAAGATGGTCCAAGGGTTGCCTCACATCGAGCACGGAGGCGAGCTGTGTAACAGCTGCCTTGTCAGGAAGCAGAGTGTGGCAGAACCGGCCGAAATAACGCACTTACGGAGGCGCTTGTCTTCCACTAACACTAAGCGCCCCGAGAGCGAGCTACGTCGGGTGGATTCCATCGAGCGCACCCCGAGGGAGAGCCCGAATAATCCATATTTTCTCCAAGGATTCAATAATGAGAACGAGTTACAAACTTAGTCCATTTCATACATCCAGAGTTCTAAAAAATTATATTATTACATTACCAAATTCAGAGTGTGGAATATTAAATAGCGAAATGAAAATAAACATCAAATAAAAATCTATCGATAATAAACAAGGATCCGTCTATGCCCACCAGAAGAATCCTTCACACAACGGCTACTCCTCAAGCAGTACCTGCAACAGGGGTAAATAAACCCTGAGTACATAATGTACTTGCAAGACTTATCCGACTGGTGGGAATAATTTCTTGACTCCAAGGGGTTATGATAAGCTTTATGGTTTGCTGTTTTCCTTTTTACAAAAAGTATACTAATAGTGCATCCTTATTTATGTTATTATTAGCAGTCATGATTAATTCATTACCAAGCCTTTCTAAGTAAGCACCTGTTCCACTTTCAAGCAAGGGTTGAGCAAACGGTTCCATTTCATCACCTTTCCTCTTTCAGTTCTTACTACGGTGCTAGAGTGTAGACAAGTCATACCAACATGGTGGCAATTTACGAATCAATGTGCCTAACTGGGTACCCCGAAACACACGCCCCGCTTGTACCCTAGGCACAAGCAGGACCAACCCATCACTCTCCTATCAAGGGGTCTAGGTCCCCATCCAAACTTGGACTCCAAGCCCCCGCTCCTGAGTCCTGGACTCAATAAGGTGCTTAGACCTCCACCATCCCCGTCTCTAATCAGTCAGCCCGGAAAGAGCTGGAACCCATGACAAGAGATCAACAAGTCTTCCCTACGCCCATGCCCAAGTATGTGCTTGGGATAATATATCTGTGACTTGCCTAGAGTCCATTGCAACAGCCGGTCCTTAACCGACACAGACAGGGAAAAAGTGTAACCAAGCTATGCCTCGTTGGTCGCAGGATACAACCTCTTACTCCCACCAATACCCAAACAATATCCCTGCTTGGTCTCCTTTTTCCTTTCCACCATTTGATCATGAGTGATCCTAGTAATCATCTATTGTGAGTAACGACAGGTTACTCACGCTACCGAAATCCTGAGCATAGCAGCTACTTGACCTATACTAGAAGGACTCATAGGTAGATATATATATATATATGCATGTAGTTTCCATAAAATTCCTGTAACATAAATGCACATCATATATATTCAGTGATCATTTAAAATAAGGGTTATGCACCGGGGCTTGCCTTGGGCAGGCGGGGTGTCAACAAAGTCAGCGACAAATGGCTCCGGGGCTCCCTTCTGTACGAGAATCTCCTCCTCGTACTCCTCAATGATCTCCTCGTAGTCCTATTCGTCCATAGACATGAACTCTACCAACTCGTTATCTACATGCATAAAATAATGATGCAACACTAAGTAATACGGCAACAGCAACTCTTAAAATACGAATACACCTATCAAGCTACTAAGCTAGTTGTACCGACTAAGGTGTTAAGTTATCTATTGTTACCACTAACAGGTATGAAACATGACATGTATTATCTTAACAACTAAAGGCATTCTTACTCTTAATACCGATTTACTATATATATACTAAACCAAGGAGTAGTAGCTACTCTATTTTTCAACATACTCAAGGGCTATAAAAATTACAGTGAACCCATAATAATCTAATGAACCTACTGTAAAAATTTCATGGCTAAATCTATCACTAATTTGCCACAAAAATTCCTACAAATATTAAACTAAATAATACTAAGCTTTCCTAAATGAATTAACGAATCTATCATTATCACAGATAACTATAAAATAACTACACAAACAGATAGATAGCATTTTTATGAACTGAACAAATTTTGTTTCACTATTTTTAGACACATACATAATTTACTACAATTTTACAAAGATCAGCTCAAAACTAAATTGAATAAACATTTATTAATTCACTACGAAAAGGAAAACTACATCCACCGTGCGGCCCGCGAGCGAGCAGCGCGGCCCACTCCCGCGGCACGCGACCCACCAGCGCGGCCCACACGGGCGTGGCCCAACCGCGCGAGGTCGAAGATGATCGTCGCCGCGGCGGCGGGATCCTCCAACGCGGTGGACACCCTGATCAACAGGTCCTTCTTCCTCCTCCTCTTCGGCGGCAACGACGTGTTCGCATTCGCGAACGCGGAGCAGGCGCGCAACAGGTCCGGCGCCGCCGACCTGCAGAGCGACGCCGCCGCCTTCTACGGCAGCCTCGTCTCCAACTACTCGGCCGCCATCAGGGGCCTGTACGCGCTGGGCGCGCGGAGGCTCGCCATCGTCAACGTGGGGCTCGCCGGATGCCTGCCGGTAGCGCGGGTGCTGGACGCCACGGGCGCGTGCGCGGAGGACCGGAACCGGCTCGCCGCTGGCTTCAACGCCGCGCTGCGGTCCCTGCTCGACGACCTCGCCTCCTCTTCCTCCGGTCTGCCCGGCCTCGCCTACTCCCTGGCCGACTCGCTGGGCCTCATGGCGGACACCTTCGCTGACCCGCTGGCGTCGGGGTTCACGGACGTCGCCGACGCGTGCTGCGGCGGCGGCCGGCTCGGCGCGGAGGCGGCCTGCACGCCCAACGCCACGCTCTGTGCAGACCGCGGGCAGTACTACTTCTGGGACAACATCCACCCTACCGAGCGGGCCGCGGCGCTCAGAGCCCAGGCATTCTATGACGGCCCGGCCCAGTACACTACGCCCATCAACTTCAAGCAGTTGGTCCACATGAGCTGATCGATGTTGGCCCATTTGCTTATTCATTCAGGGATCCAGTGACATAATTTTCCCAAGATGATTACATCAAAAGCGAACCATGGTACATCCCATGTTACATGAATAATTGACCTGAAATTCGCAAAAAAAAAAAAAAAATTGACCTGAAAAATAAATAAACAACATTGAATAAGCTTTCATGTTAGCTCTTCCTGCTCCATTCTAGCCTGTGGTAACAATCCTTATACTAGAATCATTGAGAGTTAGTTTTGTGAATTAATTGGAAAATGAGATAGCAGCCACATGCATGATGCACCACACATACATGGCATATGCATGCATGTGAATTAATTGGAGAATGAGATAGCAGCCACGCTAACGACCGACTGGTTCGTTAAGCATGCTTCCAAGAAATGCATTCAATCTGAGATATCGATGGTTAGCTAGATGATGAGAGCTTTGGATTTTCCAGATTCCTATAGTAGTGTGTATAGTGCACCCTAGCGGATATTCAACTGTTAGGGTCTCGTTTAGATTGTAAATTTTTGCAATCTGGACACTGTAGCATGTTTCGTTTGTATTTGACAAACTTTATCCGATCATGGACTAACTAGGCTCAAAAGATTCGTCTCGTGATTTACAACCAAACTGTGTAATTAGTTATTTTTTTACCTACATTTAATGCTCCATGCATGCGTCCAAAAATTGATGTGATGGAGAGAGAGTGAAAAAACTTGGAATTTTGAGGCAATCTAAACAAGGCCTAGGTATGGCGCAATTAATACCCACGAGACCCATATTATCATAAAAATTATTAAATATATACAAAATAAAGTACACACGAGACGAGACCCTGGTCGATCCGCCCAGTTGATCGAGGTACCGTGGGGAGCCGCTGAGCGGGCTGAGCCAACACCGAGGGCGAGGAGTCACCGACGAACTCTCTGATTGGGATGTGGGGATGGGCCGGTGGTGGTGGGCGGGGAAGGAGGAGGAAGATGGATGTCGGTGTTTCGAGTAAACACTAACGAGTAAATTTGTATTATTGTACGTCTGGCCCGGATGGTGTGCTAAAAAGACACAAGGTTTAAACTGGTTCGGTCAGAATGTCCCTATGTCCAGTTCATGGTTGTTGCTCGTGTTATTTGCATTGAAAAGTTCGTAGTAGGGGTTCAAACAGGCCAGAGAGGAAAAGATCCCAAGTCTCTGATGGAAAGGTCGCATGGGTGCTGAGAGTTTGGTTGCTGCTCAGCTCTGTGTGATGTGATGTGTGGTGTGTGTTTTCGATCCCTCTAGTGGGGTGTCATGCCTTCCCTTTTATAGACCAAGGAGAAGCAGAGATTACAGATGGGAGAAAGAAGAAAAACCAGAAGCAAATGAGGTCATTCAAAGATGTCGGGCCTTTCCTCAGAGCTAGTCCTGCTGACATGGCAGATGGTGCCAGGGATAGCCCCATGCTGGGTGCATGTCCACTGATGATGCCATGTTCAGGCTTTGTCAGCAAGTGGTCACGTCCCATCCCGCCCCGGCAGGCGGTGCGACGGACTAGGGTGCGGAACCGTGACTCTATGGGGAGCAGACGGCGCAGTGACCCCACGTCCGTTACTATAGATGATGTGAGTTTCCTCTTGGACCGTAGTGGTTGTCGTATGCTTCCGTCAGGATCCATGCCCGAGGACAAATGCCGGCGCCCATAACATTGTAAGACAAATGTCGGCGCCCACAACACTGTTCGGGCTCTGACATGCCTAGAAGGGCTTAAAGCGTCCGTCTTGTCATATCCTAATGGTATTTTCCTGTAGGTGTGTAGGGTATGGTCCTCGGTATTACGGTTGACTTGAGTGTCCCGCCCTATCTGCATGCATAGTTATGAAGGAGCAGCGCACAAACGTCGGGCGAGGCGGAGCCAGCCCCCGGACGTCGGACGAGGTGAAGCCAGCCCCCGGACATTGGGCGAGGTGGAGCCAGCCCTCGGGGGTCGGGCGAGGCGGAGCCAGCCTCCGAACGTCGGGGAGGCAGAGCCTGCCCCCGGGGATCGGGCGAGGCAGAGACAACCTTTGGGGGTCGGACGAGACGGAGTTAACCCTTGGTAGTCGGGCAAGAGGTGTAGTCATGCTCTTGTCTGTTTGGAAGCATCAATGCTTGATGGTTATTAGCTCCTCCTCTTTGAGCACCCCAGTATTTGGTCCCTGACAGTAGCCTTCGAGCCCCCGGGTGATTCGGATAGAATCGCCCAGGGTGATTCGACTTGCCAGAGGGTGCGCGCGAGTGCACCCGTCGGGTGTAGCCCCCGAACCCCCGGGTGATTCAAATATAATTGCCTGGGGGTGATTCGGACCCTTCACGGGTATGGCTGTGAGATTTGGTTGTTTGTTATCTATAGAGCTCAATTGGGATCCTGGTATCCCGTTCATGGGGATCCAGCCAGGGTTAGCCTGGCTGAGACTCGATCGCGGACCGAGACTCCCGTGAAGCTCGTGCGCCTGAGTTTCGGTTGCTCACGGGCCCACCTTTGTCGTAAGGGTGCCTCGGGACGGCTATCAAAACCATTGATAGGCCAGCCCTCGAACACCTAGGCCTAGGCAGGCCAGAGGAACGCTTTTTGACCTGTATCTCTTTTGGCGGTAAAGAGTCCTGGTGCACCCAGGGAGGCGAAACGTCCAGCGCATCTTCGGAGGAAAAGGATAGGGATTGCGGGCGCATATCTCGTGACGTGATGTGGTGGTGGATCGTGGCAGGCGCGGAGATCCAAGCGAACGGTTGTCTTTCTCACATCCATCGCTCCTATAATACCCAAGGGTTCGCCCCAGGGTTTCGTACTTTGCCTCCTTGCCTTTGCATCTACAACCTCCGCCACCAATCGCCTAAGCCTCCCGTATCCGCGTCTCAGTCATCGTCGAATTCGCATCCACCCACTCCAATCCTCCAATGGAGCCGTGGTGCTGCTTCGATATCACCCTTTAGCGCCTAGAGGGCCTCGTTCGTCGTGGTCTTCTTTGCGCGCGGACTACCACCAAGGAGCGGCGGCTGCCCGGTGATGAGGACGCGCCGTCACCGCCCGATGGCTACATTGTGTCCTTCGCTCACTTCCACGAGCGAGGATTCACCACCCCCGCCCATAAGTTTCTTCGGGGATTGCTACACTACTACAAGGTAGAGCTGTAGCATCTTAACCCCAATGGAATCCAGCACATTGCGGCGTTCGTTGCCCTATGTGAGGGGTTCCTAGGGATTAGTCCCCACTTCGACCTATGGCGGCACTTCTTCGCCGTCACCCTCCTAAAGAAGCAGGAGAAGAAGCAGGAGCTGATCGTGCCGATGGGATACGTCGGCATTCAGCTCTGCAATAACCGGGTCAACAAGTACCCGCTAATGCGTCTGTCGACCTCTAACAAGGGGTGGCATTCGCATTGGTTCTACGTCAAGAACGATGCAGCCGCCCCTTTGCTAGAGTTCACCAGGCGCCTCATCGAAGAGGTATCGAAATCATGAAGGAAGTGGGGAGTCCCGGAGAAAGACAAGAAGAAAATCTAGGACCATCTCACTGTCATCCGAATCCTAAAGGAGAGGGGCATGAAGGGGTCGGGGATCATCGGTGCCTACCATATGTGGAGGGTGGCGCCGCTGATGAGGCGCGTGCTTCCCCTGCACACGATGGCACCTGGGGCATCACTCGATGGGATGACACTCGCCGAGAGAGCGCTCTCCCCCTCTGAAGTGGCACAGCGCATCAAGGAGGCAATGGAGCCTCTGTGGGACGACGCCGGTGCTATTCTTGAGTTTGTGTATCCAGTGCCGGGGCACCCTCCGATGCGGCCGAAACCAGGGGATATTGTCCTGGTAAGTTTTCTCTTCCTCATGCCTTCTTCTTTAATTGGACTTCCGACCCCTTGACACTGATATTGAGAGTGGGGGACTAGCCAAGGAACCTCATCCTCATGGATCTCCTAGCTCCATTACTGAGGGATCCGTCTGTGAGGGCGGTGAATCGCGCCGAGGCCGAGCGGCAAAGGAAGGTGAAGGAGGACCAGAGGAAGAAGAAATAGCAGAAATTGCGTGTGCGGGAGCGCGGGAAGGAAACCGACAGTGATGATGATGACGACGAGGAAGAAGATGATGAGGTAGTTTCTGACACCGAGTGGGATGACCTGGAGAGCGAGGATACACTGACAGGTATCTACTCATCCATGCAGGGACCCTTCCCATTTCATGCGGGGAAAGTGAGTCTGTGAGGCCGACAGAGACAGGCTGAACCGTTGGCCCATCCTCAGAGCAAGCAGGGGCGGGCAGATCTACCGTCGTGCCTGCCCCCGCCATGCCCATGGTGCCAGCTGAGGGGGTGGCCCCGCCGCCGCTCCGCAAGAGACAACAGGGGAGAGCGGGCCTACTGCCATGCCCGAGGCACTGATGGAGGTGGTGGCTCCGTTGCCATGCCCCAGGATGCAAGGGAAGTGAGCCCCTCTGCCTGGGAGCAGGGGGCAGGCTCAAAACAGCCCCGCCCCGATAAGGTGGAGCAAGGGCCTGGGGTCCATCCCCCAAACACATCCTTTGCCCAACAACGCCGATGTACGGACTCCTCTGTTTTTCTCTGTTTTCAGCGTGACTCACGCCTTTTGTGTCTTGCAGCATCCTAACACGGGGCCACTCTTTGGCGCTGGCGCCCAAGAAGAGTGTCGCCATTCAGGCAAGACGGCGGTCGTCGCTCAACGTCGCTCCCTACTTTGGGTAGGACCGGAGCCGAGGTTACTGCCTCGTCGGCCGATGAGGCGCCGCTCATGGTGGCACCCATGCCCTCGACGAGACAAGCGGTCACCGGGGCTGATGGAATGCCCTCGTAGGTCACCGAGCAACCAGCGATGGAACTAATTCCGCTGCCGACATTGGAGCGGACGGAGTTACCGCTCGCACTTGTGGCGCCGACTGCTATGGGCATGACACCGCTGGTCGAGGGCACTCTAACGCAGATGGAGGTGGCATCAACTATGACAAGCCAGGCACAGCCGAATGTAGCCTTCGTGGTG